TCACATTGTTTCATTTTCTTTTCTGGAAAAATTTTCACCCAAGTCAGTCCAATCAAGACTGTATTGGTGGTAGTGGTGGGTGTATCCATGGAAATACAAATTTCAAGTTTCTGAATCATACTACTGTATAATATTGTGAGATTGGGAGAACTGTATGCCAGTCATGATGAACAATTTGCAGGTTCTCACATCCCGAGTTTAGAAACCATGGCTGAAGAAGGAAACTGTTTGTTTTTGCAAGTTGAATTTCAGCTTCAAATTTAAGCAGTGGGGAAGGAAGAGAGGGGGACCGACCATGATAAAAAAAAAAAATCAAATGGCTGGAATTAAATGACGCGGGCTGGACAAATGCTTTATCAATGTCAGATTTCATTCCGTTTTAAGGCAAACATGAGTCAACTTCAAACATAATTACGAGTGTAGCACATTCCGATTCAGGGTCTTCTCTTTAAGGAAGTCACGTCTAGTGGGGTTGATCAACTGGCTGGCCATCGTTTTCCTGACGACGCCTTAGTTGTCTTCTCCAAGTCTATCTATCTAGCTACCTTTACCTAGCTAAGCCTTTCACGTTTCTTGCTTTTGTTGTGATGTTATGGTACTTCTATTTCATTACTGCACCATTTTTACACCAGTCTTTGGTAGTGGTGACGGTGAACCCACTTTGGTTAAAAAGCAAGAGCCATATGATATTTCTTTGACTTTAGCTCATCATGATCATCTTCACTACGGTCGTTTCATCAAACACTACAATTCAGGAGAATATACGAACATCTTACTCTTCCACATCTATCAAAGCCATTACTTTTATGATTTTCCATTAGATTTTTTTTTTAAGATTTTCTTGGAAGCTTCCCAGAAGTCAAGAGAGAGCTTTACCAAGTAAAATAAAATTTAATTATCTATTGTTAATTAAGTCAAGAGTGTGCTCTTTCTGGGATGCTTCTTCTTTCCAAATCCAACTTCCGGATTCAGTTACAGACCTCGTCATGGAATTGGAAACCCTGCTTGGAAGAATCATGTGTGTGAACAGAGGCTAACTGCTGAATACAGGAGATGGTGATCTTATTAATGACTTTTGTCCCTTTATTTCGCATCATATGCTTACTTTTTTTTTTTTTTTTTTTTTCGCTTCAACCACCGCACATGGGAAAAGCAGAAAAAGTTAACAGCGACTCATATCATACTCAATTAATACTGTAGCAGAAAAATAATTCTTTGTTTTTCAAATAATATTTAGATTAAAAAAAAAAAAAAAAAAACATGTTTAGGCCTTATCTCATAAGCATGATTTTACAAAACAAGTAAGGTAAGAGGTATATCATTTATAATCCAGATTACAAAAGTTGTTGATTGCCCACAAAAGTATTAAGCATTTTTTAACCTTATTGTTACCCTGCACCAATTTTGGTCAAATATTTTGCCACAAAGAATGTTATTGAATTGTCTTAATCAACTCAAATTGACCACATTTAGGAATAAGCAGCTTCTTGTAGTGGACAGTTGTTAAGTTAACATCTGATAGCTAGCTTTTGCTTGGCCGCAACTGCAACTGCAACTCAATCCATTTTCAATCTCTGTTTTAACACAAATCCATTGTTTCCAATTTGGTTATTAGCAAAACTTGATCTGAAATGAAATCTAGAATCAATCATCGAAAGCAGGGTTGGTTTTATCAAGTACCCATCTAAAACTACAGTGGGAGAAATTTCTCTGTAGATGACTCTGAAAAATAATTGATGCCAGGTCAGGAACCCATCACATGAAACACTAAAGTGATTGTCATTTTTCATTTAGCGTAAGTGGGAGCAGACAAGTAGGTCACATTCAAATTTCCAAATGTTGGTGAAATAAGTGAGGACTTCACGTGGTGAGGATTAAATGCATTGATAAAACAATGGAGGGTATTGGCTATATTTTTGCTTTCTACTTCTTCAAACACACCAGCTGAAGATGTCTGTCAAATTTAAAGTAAAAGAGAAGAGGGTGACAGGGTGTGCCAGAATACTACTCATTTTTGAAGTTAAATATCAAGAATGTATGGACAGGATATGAAAGCAGTGCAGAGAAGAAACTAAAAAGAAATCAATAAGATCATATTTGATTCATTCATAAATTTGTTGTTAGTGTTGCAGGTACAATAGAAAACGAAAGACATCTATTTTTAAAAAGGCCTTGTAAATTACAAGGCAAAAAGGAAACTGAGAGCTCCTGGGATTTGTGTCTGACCCTTGAACTGTGATCGAATGGCTAATAATGTGTACTGTTATCCCAGTAAGTTATCGAATTCCTATTGATCTGATGATTTTGTAAGGTCAGAGTGCCTTACCAAGTTTTGGTGTATTGGGCCTGTTACCTTTGAGACCCAAAAAGGAAAACGCCCAACCTTCTTAAGTTTGGGTTAACCATCACTGGTTTGATAGTAAAAAAATAAAATGAGATTCTATAATCTTAAATATTAATATAGATGACCACTCAAACTCTTTTCCAACCGATAATTTTAAGTCTCGAAGAATTAGTTAAGGTACATATAAACTAGCTTCGAACACCACTATGATTAAAAAACAAAAGCAGAATATAAACTTGGAATGGGCTTGATTTGTGTTGTAATTACATTGTTGAGCTGTTGAGCATACTGGCAAAAGTACTTTTTGGCAGCTAGATTTTGTCTGTTAAATTTGCACCAACCCTAGCCTATGAATTTATTCTCTCCCTTTTTCTCAGTCTTTGTCAAGTAAATCTGGAAGAGAATTGGAAGATTTAACTTTATACAAACCCACTTAGCAATGAAGATTTTTATGTAAAGATCGATATTTTTTCACTGGAGTATCCTTGAACTTGCGGGTTTACAAATAATTGGATGGATATTTACCTTCTGCTTGATGTTACATACCAAGTTCATCAGAATATATTCAACGAAAAAACTCATACCACACCTAACATCCTAATTGATGTATAAGCACCAATTCTGAGTACAATTATTGTATTATTAATTGCTTAGATGCTACCATTAATTTTTGTCCTTTTCTAGAAGCTGCAGGTTCTGCTTTCAACATCATAGCCACATGCACATAATTTATAAGTTCTGGACTATATATAAATGTATAAATGTCTTGAAAAGCATAAATGTTACAGAACTAGACGTAAAGCTGCTGCAAAACAATTGGCAATATCTATATTTGATTCCATAAAGGTTGGTATCTAAGAAACAGCAAGATCACTTGAAGGACTGAGAATAAGGAAAACTGTAAATATATATTATTGCTTATGGGACAACTCAAAAGGGTAGTAATACACCAAAAATAAGCCATACATGCATGGAAGTAATGCAAGATAAATTGACAGACACTAACTGTTAGAACAATTAGCAGTCACCGCTTTAGCATGATGACAATGATCTGATGCATCCTAAATTGCATTCATCTCCACTCGCTCTTGCTTGAATCGCTCTTTAACATAAAGAATGTACTTTGAAGCTTTCATGTCCACGTTTTCATCACCACCACCGCCGCCGCCATAATAATCGAAAGGACCATTGTTATTAGCATAGACGCTTTCTTCACGGAGATAGTTGACCTTACTGGAAGTCGATACAGCCTTCTGCATTGATGAAGAATTTGACATATCTTGGTGACTCAAATAAGTTACCGAACCGTTTCGATTATTAGAAATATGGGTTGGCCTCACCTTGTTATTACCATTACGCTTGGTAACTTTAGAGAAAGTCTTGACTAGCTTATTTCTCATGAACCCTCTGTGCTTGTGGTCTGTCTCCATTGAATGTGAAGATGATTTCTTAGTGTATCAATCACAAAACACCTGCTACTACTTATATATGGAGTGAATTGGGGAAAACTGTTCATTGAGATAGACGTCAAGAATGTGAAAGGTCCCACCGTCCATGATCATCAATATATATATTTATCTAGAATCATGTACAAACGATGATTTCTTTTAATCCCAGATTGTATAGGGGTTGGATAATATTCTCCACCTATTTTTTTAAATTTCTGAACTAATATATTTTCCGGGATGTGGATTAGGTAGAACTTGTTAGAGGATTACTTTCACAAGGAGCTAGAAAGATACTGGATGCTTTTTCTTTTGGTAAACTATGATACGTTCTTATGTTAATGGCCGAAAGATTTGGTCATCTGACTCTTAATTCCATAATATCTTCATAAAGCAGGCTCAAACCGTTAACAAATCTTCGTCGAAATTTCTTTATTTGGTCTGACTCTGACCCCATCAGCATTTTATTGGGTATTGTTCGATTGAGCAGACCAGCAGACCAGAACCGAAATTGTGCATTTGATGCTTTATTCTTAACGAGTAATGACAGAAAGTGTGTTTGTGCAATGTGCTAAAGATTTCACGACGCGTAAACTGTCACCTGTGTGTGGGAATTTGAGGCGTGACGGCACCGTTTAGCACCACCATAAATATCATGACGTGAGCCAATCTTCTCTTGGTTACATCACACGTATTCCGAGCATCAAAATTCATATATGGAATGTCCAAGTTTTTTATTTTTCCTTATATTTTTAGTAATAATATTATGTGGTTATTCATTGAGAAGTCAAATACGTTTCTTTGTATTGTTCTTGTTTTTTTCATTTGAGAAAGGAATGGTTAATATCAACTTACCCTAACCACGCTTAGGTGATTGAGTGATTAAATAAGAACTCTTAGAGTATTTTCTAAAAGATCTTGAATTTGATTCATCTCGATTGCTAATAGAGATGATCACCAAAAGTTTATCCGGTCATTGACTTCAGGCTTCAGAGTCCTAAAAATTAGTTAAAATATACATAAACTGACTCAGATATCTCGATTACCAAAGCAAAAAAAAATATCAATTGACCGTGCGGACTATATACATGTTATTATGGAAGGAACCAACTCTTGTATACATGAGAGAGAATCAAGTAATAAATTAGAATTCCCAAATGTCACTGAGAATAATTATTTTGGAAGATTTATACATCTGATGACAACATTGAAACCCTACTATTTTGGGGCTTCAAATAAACAGGAGAGAATAATACATATGCATATGCAGTAGCTGTTTAACATGTAAAAGAATACAATATCCCTCTACTTACGAGGCTACAAGTATTCAAATAAGAGCAAATACATGAAGTAATATCTTAGAAATCTAACAGCTTGCGAGTTGCGACCACATTTTATTATCATTATTAGTATTTTGTTGATAATGGGTCACAAAGAAAGCTGTAGATGGCACATACTACTCCCAGGAGAAGGAGAGAGTCTGGTGAGTTCTACTTGGAGATGATCCATCAGGACCAATCTGAAAAATATCCTGGTTATGATGGTTGGCATTACTACTGCTGTCCGAGACCAATGCAGATCTTAGAGGCTCGCCATTCATTCCTTGACTACTGTAACTCAAGCTTGGGATCAAGGACTGAGGAGGAGGGATTGAGTCAGGCTGCATCATATGGCTCAAACCAATCTCCCGTGTCTCAGCTGGTGGTGATGACAGAAGAGAGAGAGCACAGCCAGAATTGATTACTCTGTTTAAATTATTGGAGAACATTTTCTGGCTGCTGACACCGTTACTCATAGAGGAGGAATTGGCACTTAGAAGTGGTTGACAGACGGAAACTCCTGGGAGTGTAGAATTGATTCCTTCCAAGAAGGGGAACTGCTTCCCCACTTTGTAGTTGTGAGATGACGATTCATGAAACAAGTTCCTATTGCTCAAGTCTAACTGAGAGTGTGGGTTGTGAAGCATCACTTCAGCCCTGCCTTTGACAACTCCAGCCCAAGCAGGCATTACTGAATTAGTTGAAAATACTTCAGGGCTACCGAATGGTATAAATCTAGTACCTGCATATAAAGTTTTCCCTTATAATTGAAATAAAATGCTAAGTGGCAGAGGAAAATTCGGTTCTGCAATCAATAACGGCCAAGTGGGGAACTTATTTTCAATATATATTATTGAGTAAATTTGCAGTTCAGAAGAAGAATTTGAACCTTGGTGATTGGAAAGAAACCTCCCAGGATTTATGGAAAGAGTTTCTGGTTGAGGCTTCCTACGGCGCCGGTTATGTCCGTCAAGCCGTTTCCTGCAGCTTCTCTTTCCCTCATCAAACTCCCCCAATGAATGAAACCTGATCAGGTGTGTTCTCGAGAAACAAAGAATCTAACTTCATTACACGAAAAAAATTGAACCAATGCATGCAAATGGATGAAAAGATTATCATGTACAGAGGAAATCCAAAAAAAAACATCTGCTATCTCTGCTTAGAAGAACAAATAGTGATAAAAGATATCCTGCCTCGTCTAGACTAGGTTTCATCAGCCTACACACAATTCAACCTCCAAAAGAACTAAAACGGTCCTTCATGTTTCTTGATCCACTAATAGAGCAGTATCTTCCTATCATATGGGTTGACTGCAAAGATGAATCACTCTTTGAATTTTCCACACCATTTAGTGCAATAAAATGCTAAACTACATATAGATTATAAAAATCTACTTCTAAGAGTTTCAAGCATAATAGTATCCATGCCTAATCTGCTTTGGGCAACACAAGCTAGTTAAGTACTGCCCAAATTTAGAAATATGTTTTGTGCGAATGTATATAATCTAAAAGGTATTCATGACAAAACTCAGCAAAGCTAAAAATTTTAACTAACTCCTTTGAAAAAAAGGAACGTTACATCAAAGACAGCTGATACAATACTAGGTAATCACTCCATACAACTCAGCAAAGCTAAAAATTTTAACTAACTTCTTTGAAAAAAAGGAACGTTACATCAAAGACAGCTGATACAATACTAGGTAATCACTCCATACAACTAAGAAATGGTGGAAACCAGAACAAATGAAATAATATGCTGCATCAAAATTAAATTGAGTAACAGCTATAAATTACGAAAAGTCAAAACAATAGAAGGGCAAAAATACTCGCAGAAACCTCCATTCTGTCCTAATTTAACGAGCATTCTTATTCATACCTGCTGCATTGCTGGCAAAATCGTTGTTCTTGACCCTGAATTGTAACTTTTGGGGTCTTAGAATGGAGCTCACATACTTTATGGCGGCGATGATAGTCCCTGCATTTACTAAGGTCTGCTGTGCACTCATCAACCAAGCAAGAAGGGACTTGGGTCCCATTGCCAGGTGTTTTAGCCCTTTTCGAAGAACCAGATCTTGATAATTCCATCAAAGAGACCCAAGGGTACTTAAATTTCTGCTCTAACGTGTCCTCCAAAACACCTAACTTCAGAGCTTCAAGTCCAGAGAGCAACTCCTTGCAGCCTGAAGCTACTAGACCCAGCAACTAATGCTATTTGAGAGAATGCCTTCTTTCTAAAAAATTGTCCCATACATCATTTTCCTTCTTCTGCTCACACTCAATTCCTAGTGAAAGATCACACCATTTTTCGTAACACTATATAGCAAGAACAAAAAACCTAGTACAAAATTTTTGTATTAGCTTTCTAGTCTTCTTGTGTTTCAATTATCAACACAGTGAAAAGAGTTCTCATGTGCAGTAGATAGCTTACTATAACACAAACAGTAAAAGATGGTCTATACATATTTTTTTTCTAAGACCCATGACAAAAGTTCCATTCAAAAGAATGGATTCCCAGTTCTTGAATGGAATTACTTCTAAAAGAATTTGCAGTGATAAATTAAAGTAGACAGATAAAGAAAAAGGTGCGTTGATAGTGATTCTAGTTCATCTGTATCATGATACCCTTATGTAAATGTCACATCACAGGAGTCGGTACTACAATCCCAAACACACGTAGCCACTAGCCTCAAAAGTTCTTTTCCAAAAATGCTCTTACCATTCTCACAAGTTTTCTTCTGAAACAGAAATTAAATCCATTAAAAGAAAAAGATTCTTCTTCTTTTTCTTATTTTATGGGCCGAGAAAGACGAAATATTCATGTTTGAATAAATTAAACTCTTAAACAAGCAAATTTCCGTTACGAGTTATATGATTCTATCAGGTAAAACTTGAGAAATTATTTTTCTTTCTTTTGTTTCAAAGTTCTGCCAAAAGCTTCCGCCCATCACTATAAGAAATCTTATATTTCCTCAGAAAAAATCGATAAACAAAAAAAAAATAATAATATATATATATATATGAAACCGCATGCAATAATTTACATTTTTCTAGTTGTAAAATGTGTTTTTAACAAATGAAAAAACTTACACTTTTCCCGCATGCAATAATTTACACTTATCCCGCTCTTGTAAAATGTGTTTTTAACAAATGACACGATTTAAACTGTAATAAGCAAGCCAAGTCATAAGAAACCCAAAAATTGGACATCGAATTCATATAATGTCCGTACTTCCTAGAAAGCAGCTAGAAATTCATAATTAAATCATAAAACAAAAAAACACAAGGCAAGAAAGAATCAATAAAAAAGTTAACCTGAGAGTCTCAGAAATCAGGCACAGAAGAAGCAAAGATTGTTGTGTTGGTAACTTCCAGCCTGCCCAGTTGCATAGACACCTAAAAAAGGCGGGAAGATTTGCACTGACTGTTGTAAGCAAGAATAGGAAAACTAAAATGGCAACAAGAGTTGATCACTTTCCAGTCGTGAATTAAGCAGCTACAACAGTTTTTCTTAAAAATCTAGAGAGAAAAAAAGGAAGCTGGGAGGGAAGTGGCTAGGTTGTGATCATGGAACAGTAACCAACAAGAAGAATGGATAATGTATAGAAGTAGAAAGACGTGTGTGAGGAAGAAAAGAGAGAGAATTAAGAATGAAACGCAAGAGGGATATTAGTCTTTGCAAGTCTTCTTGCTTCCTTTTTAGGCGTTGCAGGTTTGGAAATGGAGAAGAAAAGTAAGTAAAATAATGTAGAAAAAGAAAACGAGTTAAAAAAAAAAAAAAAAAAATGCTGAAAAAACGAGTGGCAAAGAAAGGGACAGGGTGTAGTTGCTATCAACTTTCCAAGTGAGATAAAAGAAAAGTACGAAACTAAATAAGGGAAGGGGTAGGGGTGTGAGTTTCTTGTGTTTCGTATTCCATGACGTTCTTTCCCTGGTCTTGCCTCATTAGTCATTACTCTTTACTCAGTTCATATTCTCTCTCTGGTTTTAGGCTTTTAGCTTTGTTATTTTGGGAATCCCCCCCACCACAAACTGTTATTCGACTCCCTTCTTATGCACTTGATTTTGACTGTACAAGTTTCTACTTTCTAGGATCAAATTATATACCAAGTCTTTGTCTTTGTCTCAATTATCAGAAGCAAAAATCACCATTTTTTTTTTTCTTTTGGAAACTGGAAAGAATAAAATGATTTGCATGAGGACAATTTGTTACCACATACGGGATTGGTGAGCTATAAGTTTATAGATGCTATAATAAGGAATAAAGAGCATGAGCAAAAGATTACGAAGACGATGACATCAGTGGATGCGGCTACAGCACATGATAAATTTTGATCATCTTTTTCAAATGATTTCTAGAGATAATGACATCCGTCATACAACTCTCCACCGTGAACATGCTTTGGTTCTAGATAGAAAGCACTTGCCCAATTGCACGAGTGTTTTCCAAAAGAATTTCCGTCTCATCTTTAGCTTTTTTTTTTTTCAAATCCAACATCTCAATTTGCTTTATTTTATTATTTTCCAATCAAGTGTCAACAATTATGATCTCCATTTTGAATGAACAAAAATTAAAACAATTAAAAGTAAGCTTACAGATGGGTGGATCTAAATGTTTCCTTTAAAGTCTCATGTAAGGCTGTAGCCTGTAGTGTAATTTTAGAAGACAGTTTAAACTTTTCATATGAGACCATGCAATCAGAAAGAAAAGATATACCCTGATACCCACTGTAATTAATTTAATACCCACAATCCTACCTTCAGGAACTTTATTTTCAGATAGGAAGCTACAAAGCTATACCCAGAATTATTATTGTTCTGTTAAAAATAATAACCATGCTGTATTAAATTATTAAGGCCTCTTGAAGAACACAACAGGAAGGAGATTCTAATAACACAATCTACAAAAATGGAAACTTTTGTAATGGTCCAGCTTAGCAAAAGGGCTTTTTGCGCATCACTAGGTCATAAAGAGCATGCTATACTTCTAGACTTGTGAAGTGTGAACACTACCCACAAAACTTTTTCAAAAGTAACTGTATATTTGTTTAATGATGAAGATAAGAGTAAATTAAGGAAAATGTCATACTATAAAATGCAAATTTTTCTTTTTCAGTCTTTAAATTAATTAAACCACCTGTTTGGTTTGTATTATTAAATTAAAATATATGATTAGAGAGAAACCATTATTCAAAAATGAAGTACCATGTCGGTCCTCCAACTTCAAAGGTGATGATGCTGATGCCCCACAGCTCCTAGTCCAAGAGGGGTTGAGTTAATAAAATAGGACCCAACTCAAAACCCAAACCCAAACACAATGAAGTTGCCTTCCTCTAGGTCCCATCCACTGTTTCACCTAGTTATTAAGTGGCTCCCAAGCCACGGGGTGGAATTTATTATAGTCATAAAATTACAAAATAAGAGAGCGATTGAGGTACATAAGCTTAAGCCAGACAAAAAGCTACAGAGCTGTGACTAGTTAAGTATCATAACATCAACCCACCTCCTTTATTGTCACAAAATGGAGTGGTCATCAGTGTGGGTCATTTCATAAAATCAATTTCAGTAAATATAAAATTCAAACGTACTTTCTTCTAGGTGTTTTATATTCTCAATAATAATTTTCTTTTTTGAAAGCTTAAGTTTCATAATTATGGAAACAGTGACATCTACTTGGAACCATATTTTAAAAATACTTAATGGGCAATCACTTTAGGATTTTTCCATTTCATCTTTTCCCCTTAATTGGGTAGAACCAATTTGATGTTTCATCACTATAAAAAGATCAACATGCTAGAATAAATTAAATAATATTCATAAAAAATCAATTGTAAACACCATACTTAAGTGAAGAGCATGTGAATACGAATGATTGCACACTCCCAAGTCTCCCACCTGAAAAGTAGTATTATAATAAATTATTAAAAGCTTGAATCAAATGTAAGTGTTAACAGTGTAAATTGTTTTCATGCCGGTGGATGATGCTCTACCTCAACCACTCATCAATAAATACAAACCAATTTCGTCTTTCACTTAGGCAAATTGACCACAAATTCTAAAGCAAGTATATAAACCCCCCGCCGCCACCCCCATTCATTCATACCTATAATATTAGGTTCAAATATGCTCAAATTATATCCTTATTGATCAATTTAAAAGTAATACAACCAAATCAAATGACTCCAGGGGGACAAAGAAAAAAGATTTGATTGGCGAGTTCTCCAATTCGTTCACATGGGTTAGATCTACTTACGACTAACCAACACCACCGATAAGCACAACTAATCTAAAGCATTAATCTTAAACCAATAGGAGGTGAACACCTGGGGAAATTGGTGAATTTAAGAGCTGGTCCCAATTGGCAACACTCGGTAGTCCCATGAATGAAAACAAAGTTCCTATCAGATATTGCTTACTAACTACAACCAAAGGGAGGGAAAAGGTTGTTAGGTAAAGAAGCATTTACCATCAACCAACCAAACGCCTTTGGTATCAAAGAGTGTCAACCACCAATGTGCTGTTTTTATCCTATTGGCCACACTCCCTAATATATATTTATGCTTTTCAAAGCTAAACACAACCCCAACGGTTCCCCTAACAAATTTTAAGTGCCAGTGGGGCAGGGCACTCTCTTTTAGTGGTAGGGTATACCACCTTTAATTAATTCCCATATGTAAGTATGCCATTTTGCATCTTTTGGCCAGATAAACTACTATTCATGGGCCTTCACTAAAAGATCTAAATAAATAATGAGATTAATTCAGTTCAACTTATTAGATTAAAATACATCAGTACTTCAACTTGCTTTAATACATTAACTTATATGTATAAACAAATTTGAAAAAGTGAAAGATTATCAAGGGAGGCTTGGTCCACATTAATTAAATACAAACCTCATATGGTCCACTGCATTAGTAATATTCATATGGACACCGGAAATTCCGTCTCTTTATGCCCCAGCATTGTTCTGAAAAATGATTTAAAAAAAAGTGTAAACATATAATTAAAAGATAACATAACTTTCAACTACGGCTTTCAGGACTCCATATTGAGTTTCCTAAAACTTGGCCCTTTCAGCCTGAAACTGAGTCAGGTTGACTAACACCATATGGGCTGCAGGCCTAAGTGTATATTTTTGTCAATTCCATACAATCAAATTGGATAACCAAGGTCATGATTATTCTATTGCGGTTTAAATTCCTTGAAATGTCTATCACTGAAGAAATTGAACAATAAGCAAGCACGAATTGGAACAATGACACCCCGGTATCTAACAAGCTCAAGCCACAGACTCATGCCATATCTAAACTCAGACCACCTTTTACATGCAGGAATTAAGGATCTAATTCAATGAAATCTATTAAAATTATGTAACTGAATCTCTATTTTTCACCCTTCCTGTTGTCTACAACCCAAAGGCCGTTACACACTAAAAAAGTAGCAGGAACTAAGAGACATTAGATAGGTACAATTTGATAATTAATGTAGGAAAACACTGTTAAATTTCACAAATCTAATCTTTTAGATCTTGAAGAAGATACGATTGTCTGAGAGACGGCTAAAATGATACATGTAATGCCAACAACCACATCTTTTTTGGATCAGGTACACATCCTCAATAAAAATAATGACAAAAGTGGCTGGGGACATGCGTACTATTCCTTGGAATATCCATGTTGAAAACCAAATTGCTAGATCTCATTTACTTGCATGTCCACCCAAGACACTGCATAGTCGGACACTTAGCAAAGGACAAAGTTGCCAAAACTGCAACTCTGCGCACTTAAGTAAACTTTCATTCTTGAAACAAGTTCAAGTGAAGAATGAGATGGATATCATAATGCAGCATTTACCTTAGCTTGCAAAATCTTCTGGCTGTCATTGAAGTATTGGTTTGGATGATTGATGCCAGCATCACATGATGAGCCATGAACAGCTTCAAATGTTAAGGTACATGCCAACTGCACAAATTCACCACATTGTTCACAAACAAAGTAGATGCATCTAAAAGCAAGTTTTGGAGATGGCTGGTAATGTATGACCTGATAATGCCTATTTCGCACTTTATCCATTACATCTTCAATTGCACAACTACCTACTCCCATTCTACCGATTGCAGCCCGCAAGTTTTCCTCACTGTTGCATGAAATTGAAACCCACAGGAAGAATCATTCAACATGTAAAACACATAGTCCATAAGTTTACAATAAGTCATAGTACAACCTCCATTCAAGTGGTACTCATGATGAATAAAATAGATGACTTGAATGCATTAGATTTTAGTGTTTAAAATTTCTGATCTAAGCCCACTAAACAATTTTTTTTTTCCCAGTGAGCCAGTTAAGAGAGTAATTTTCTGTTGTGTGTAGCTGGAGTGTACAATAAATGATAGGAAAAATTGTTATACATTAAAGAATTAACCTGAAATGACGATAGGGGCAGCCGTGATGATCTCCCACACCAGGAGTTGATGAAATGATTTTTTGACAAGAATAAGGAGTATAATCCTGCAATTACACAGATGAACAATTATTAAATGCTGTTATAATACGCACCCAAGTTTCAAAGAGTAAATAAAGGGTGAAAGGTCAGGACCTATAAAAATATTATCAACTGATATATTTCTGTAACCAATAACTTTGTGATACAATCACTTAACAGAAATTGTATTCAATTAACTCCATTCTCCTTAATTAGACCATAACTCAACACAAAAAATAAGTTACCAATTCAGTATTGATACCTACGACATTTACGTACTTATTAAATTAATTTTGAATCTTACCGTTCTCTTCCCTTCTCTTCCATAATTATGCCGTATGCTGTATGCATATTCTTTATCAAACCTCTCTGCACCAACCTTTGACATAGAAGATTAAAGAAGCATTATAATACTATATAATGCAGCTTGCAGGTTCCAAGGAATCAAATAATGAAACAAGATAATGCCGCATGCTCATGCCATAGTACTCATATATGAATAAGCGACGAGTATGGAGGTGTATTAAAGAGAGAAGATTCTTTTGATGCACTATTATCCTTTGACCAAATAAATCATTTAGACTTGCCTTATATGGTTGCACATGGCATAAAATCAGAGATTAAAAAACCATGTATATGATACTTATATACCATTTTATATTATTTTTTCTCCTGCTTGTAGTTGATGAAATGAAATATAATAATATAAATGATAAAGGAAAAAGTTGGTAGACAAAATAAATTGACAGAATGCTTGTATAGTACTGTACTTACCTTTTGGGAAAACTCAGCTTTCCAGAATGCTAAGGCATCTTCCAGCTTCAACCCAACACCCTAAGTATAACAAAACAAGAAACACCAGGAAAATTTAGAAGACCACAAACTACCTTTTCTTGGGATTATATTTCATTATTTTATCAGAAAACTATATTAGAAGTTTCCACACTCATGGTTCAACAGATCTTTTATTTTTGTTGCACATCTGTGATGAATGCAAACAACATTAAAAAAAAATGCAAGCCATTAAGCCTGTAAAATTGAGGATTCACTGTATCAAATAATTGTCAAAAAGTTAAATGTACAATGTACAATTGTATACATATCTAAGCAAGTTGTATGCACACAAGTATGTGTCGAAGAATGATGCAGCAAATGCAAACAAAATCTGCAACAGAAGAATTGATAGCCCAGTATTAAATGTGCATTTGCAATGGATATGTGTGACATGCCATAATAGGACTTCCATGTTCCATCATCTAATTTCCTAAACTTACCACAACAGAAACAAATTCATATTTGAAGTAAAAACACAACCTTAAGAAAGAGACCTAATTGCATTCTCCCTCCATGCTTTAAATGATGATCTTCTCTCAGCTGCACATAAGTTGCAAAAGACAATTTACTAAAAGAAACATATAGACAATATCAGGAAAAAAAATCACAAGAGAGGGAAGGAAGAAGACAATAAAGACAGGAAATAACTCAGAATATGTAAAGTAAGGCTGAGTTTACAACCAAATCTTACCTTGACAAATAGGTGGCGCATGCATAGAGGAAATGAACTCTCAGCTAATTGATCTAAATCATTAATTGAAATTTCACCAAATTCTTTGGGCTGCAGACACAGTCAAATTTATACAAGTCAACTTCAACATTTGCGACCAAGGCCAATGATCAGTTGACAACATTCGATAAATTACCCGAGAATAGTCAGGACCCAAATAGCTTGTGCACAGGGCTTCCACGATCTAAACAATAACAAAAGAAAAAAATGTCAATAAAAGCAAAAGCCATTTTCAATATATAATATTTGCAATCCAATACTCACAGGAGTCAACCGATCTTTTTCTTGTTCTCTGATTGTAGATGTCCACTTTCTGTAAGCGAAAGCTACAACTGATGAGAGTTTGTATATCTAAAAGATGCAACCTTATTCACCCACATTGAGCTCACATTACAGGCCAATGCATGTGTTAATACAACACTGACATTGGTATTAGCAATAATGCTGCAGTCAAGGATAAAATGATAATGATGGTAGTAGCAATATGAATTACATTCCCTCATCAACTTGAATTGCTCGTCGATCATTGTAAGTGCTCGGATCTTACCACTTAGTAGCACAAAGCACTAGAACAAAATCATGCATTACTTCTGACAAAGCATATCTGTAAACCATTCTATCGCAAAAGGTTAACTATACCGTCTATTGTTCTAGCCAGTGTAAGCGGTATACTATGCAGCATTTTTTAGTGATTTCTCTACTTTCACTTACAAGAAGGAGATGAGAAAGACCAAAGCAGATAATCTGAACATAATAGATGTAAAGATTTTGAAACTAAACCTGTTTGTTAAAATGAGTGCCTTCGATAGATTACTGCGAAATTGTGTAACCACAAGTGAAACCACCTATGAAAAGGAAACATGTTTCGTAAACATCAATAATATACACTTCATATGTCAAAAATTTAATAGGAAGGAATAATAATACTCACCTGATTCATAGCAACATAAGCATACCCTTTATGGATAAATACTCTACGACCAGCTACAAGTTCTGGAACTTCTTCAAAAGGTACCTTCATTTGGGTAGGACAAATAAAAACAAATAAGCCAAATAAAACCTGAATACTCATGATAAATTTCTCCTTCTAAGACTCAAAGATAGAGAAGGTTCTCCTTCCCATACATGAAGAGCCCTCAAAATTATCTGCCACCTGCTTCTCATGGGAAAATTGAACATGAAATATTCTTCTCCATCCACCCATTAAGCAAGACAGTCAAAGATCGAAACAATTTAACTGTTTTACTATTGGCAGATTACACAAAAGAAAGGGAATTTTTTGTTCTTTTTAAATGAAATTGAAAGAATAAAGGGATCTTTGCTAAAACACTTTAGCTGATACTAAATACATCACTACATCAGATGTTTTCACATGATCCTATCATATGATACAATTCTCTATTATCAACAGCAGTTTGCATTTTCTGTACAGATAAATAGTCGGGCAAAGATAAGCATACCTTGTAGTATATAGAATCAGCTGCAAATGGCAAGAGCAAAAACAAGCACATTAGGACATAAAACCAAAAAAAAATTAAGAAGGAAAGAAAGAAACAAGACAATTTTCATTGCTATACTATATTTATAATCCCAACCTCCTTGTTTTATTTTTCTTAGACTAGGTGGCATGTAATAAGTCTGTAAAAACTAAAATTCACACAAGAAAATACTGAACTGTAACATGAGCAGCTTCAAAATTAGAAACAGAACAAAGGAACACGAGCCTTAATCATAGAAAACTGGACAACAAAGTCTGTTCACTAGCGGACAACAAAGTAAAAACTAAATTTCACACAAGAAATTACTCGACTGAGACATGTGCAGCTTCATAATTAGAAACAGAACAAAGAAACATGAGCCTTATTCATAGAAAACTAGACAACAAAGCAAGAGCAAAGTCCGCTTACCAGTGGGTGTCTGTTGACCAATAATTGACCGTGCAACCTGGCTCAATTTTTCCTTTAGATTCTGAACAGAAAAATAGATCACAAACACCATTGTAATTTTATTAGTCAGATCATTTGAAAAACTCATCCACAATATGTTCCCGATGTATAAGAGGTTGAGACTTTCCTATGAAGTTGTGTTTCTATCATTTTCATGCAATTGTGTGTGTTTGCGGAGAATGATCCAGTAAATTGTGTTCACACATATTTACAAACAGATGGAATATGATTACCTCAAACTCTGCACTGCTAACAGGTTTGCATGGAAGATCAAACTCTGCCATCAATGCCCTCTTCCAAACCAGAAGCATAATGTACAATCAGCATCTAACTGAATCAGAAAACTAAGAACTAAGAAAACAAAAACCCTACCTGAGCATCAGAGCGTTCACGCCCAAAACGATGGCGAAATAAAGCAGTCTCCATCGAAAGAAACCATTTTCTCAAGTCCTCCCTAAACAAATATGGGTTTAACAATGAGCCAGAAACTCAGAAGAAACAACAAGCACAAAACAATACAATAATTTCATAAGCTTACGTTCGACAATAAACAAGACGCAGGACAAAATGGGATATTATATCCTTGTTGACAACTTCAGTTGCATCTTGATGCCCCATATTAGCTTTCCACAAATCCTTTACCTGCCCAAAGCAAAGAAGTAAACTTAGATTGTGGATCTCACATGGGAAAACAGTCAATCTGTATATATAATTCTTATTACCAATTTTTCCATTTCTTCAGGCTTCTTTCCTCGGGAAAGCCCATCAGAGATTCCTTTAAGAACTGCATTAAGCACATGCAATAACAGCAATCATAAGTAGAGCTTAAACTCCATTGGAAAAACAAGCTAGAAGGGGGAAAAGAAATTGGAAAGTAAAGTTGAAATCACATGTTTCAAGTCATTAGCGACCAAAATAACGAGAAACTCAGCCAATTTTATTTATCTAGCACAGTCGAGCCGAAATTTCAAAATTCTCATGTGTCAAACATTGAAACGGTTTATCCAAAAAAAAAAAAAAAAACATTGCAAAGCCCAATTTACCGTGTTCTTAAAGGAAGAAAAAAGTGAATAGCTCAAATTATATATATTCGATATCTCTTTCTTTAATTTCGGTTCTTAAATGGAGCATCGAGTTCAGTCAGTGGACTAGTTGCATTTATAACTCATAAACTGTTAAAACCCTAGATTTCAATGATTAGCATAAAATTTGAACTGGCCCAATGTATAAAAGAAATTTTAAGTCCAGTTTGTTTCCGGTAATAATTACTCTTGTTTCGTCTCCAACATTTTCTCAGAAGATGCGATAAAATAAGACCTTAAGTACAAGATCAAGATCCGAACAGACAGAAAGGAAAATCAAATTCTTCACTTCGTGTGAATATGAGAGACAAACTAACACAACTACGAAGCTCTGAAGTAAATTAATTTGAAGTTTCAAGTTTCAAATTACAATGAGACGTTAAGTACCTCGGAGGCGATCCATAGCGAAGAGCTCGAAATCTTCGAGTCTGACTTCAAGTGAAGGGGCAGAGCGATAAAGAGGCAGAGTAGAAACGGCATCATTGTGATGATTTGTTCTTGCCCTGTCTTGTCGAACTATTTCCATTTCTTCTCCGTCCGTATGGGGAGCTAATTCAGCTACGATTATTGATGAGTTTTTTTTTTCCTATTAGGTTTTTATATATATGAGCGCGCCAAAGAAGAAAAATGGCGGGAAATGATGACCCTCGCGCACGACATGTCATACAAGAAATGGACAACGTGTCATGACTCATGCATAACTGTAAAAAGAAACTATTACATTCATAATTTTTTTTCACACGAGGGTGATAGTTCGTAATTTGTTAGTTTATAATAAATTTTACTTAAATCTTATTTGATAAATTACGATTAATCAATTACGAGCTATTATGTCAAGGTTATGAAAAAAATTGTGAATGTAATATTACTCGTCCTAAAACTGTTGATATACCATCTATGAGTATACGATGTGTGATCCTCGTATATAGGTAGCTAGAAAGGGTCACTTTAGAATTAATTATATATTTCCTTTAGTGGAACAGGAAACAAATTTGTTCCTATGATCGAAAGAGGAAACAATCATGAATTAATAATAAATTATATGAGTTTGGAAGGGGAAAATGCTGCTTATTAATTCTGGAAATTCTAAATATTCCGTATTTACTCTTTAAAATCAAACTCTGATAATAAGGAAGAAGAGGCTATAAATTAATTGGAGAGGGTTTTGTCAAAGGAAAGACACAAGCTCTTTCAGAGAAGATCTTTCGCCTTCTGTGATTCATAAAGGTTAGGCTGATGGAGAAGTCCTTGCAGAAGTGGGTTTGCTCCAAGAAAACTCAGAACACTACGCCTTCAGCTGAAGAAAAGGTTGCTTGATAACTTATATTAATATTATTTTCCTGTTAGTTTTGGTCTTGGCCTTAAATAAACCATTAGTTTGGTGGGGTGGGGTGGGGTTTTTATTTCAGAAAATCAAAGTGGTGTTGAAGTACAATGCGCACTGTGAACACTGCAATTCGGAGTTGGAGAAGTGCATCAAGAAGTACTCAAAGGGTGAGCGTCTGCTGCGTTTTGAATCATCCATATCCATGCTTGCATTACTTATTTTCTATTAATTCCATTAAAACTTCTTAATTTCTTAATTTTGGAGGTTGTTGGATGAAATTAATGAATGCTATTATGGCCTTGTGCAGGAATTTCAGGTGTAGTGTTAAATAAGAATCTGTCACTGGCGATTGTTGAGGGTGTGTTTGATGTGAGAAGGCTAGTGGAGCACATCTGGCAAGAAGTTTCAAAGCGTGTGCAGATTGTAAGTAAAGAANGAGTTTTTTTTTTCCTATTAGGTTTTTATATATATGAGCGCGCCAAAGAAGAAAAATGGCGGGAAATGATGACCCTCGCGCACGACATGTCATACAAGAAATGGACAACGTGTCATGACTCATGCATAACTGTAAAAAGAAACTATTACATTCATAATTTTTTTTCACACGAGGGTGATAGTTCGTAATTTGTTAGTTTATAATAAATTTTACTTAAATCTTATTTGATAAATTACGATTAATCAATTACGAGCTATTATGTCAAGGTTATGAAAAAAATTGTGAATGTAATATTACTCGTCCTAAAACTGTTGATATACCATCTATGAGTATACGATGTGTGATCCTCGTATATAGGTAGCTAGAAAGGGTCACTTTAGAATTAATTATATTTCCTTTAGTGGAACAGGAAACAAATTTGTTCCTATGATCGAAAGAGGAAACAATCATGAATTAATAATAAATTATATGAGTTTGGAAGGGGAAAATGCTGTTTATTAATTCTGGAAATTCTAAATATTCCGTATTTACTCTTTAAAATCAAACTCTGATAATAAGGAAGAAGAGGCTATAAATTAATTGGAGAGGGTTTTGTCAAAGGAAAGACACAAGCTCTTTCAGAGAAGATCTTTCGCCTTCTGTGATTCATAAAGGTTAGGCTGATGGAGAAGTCCTTGCAGAAGTGGGTTTGCTCCAAGAAAACTCAGAACACTACGCCTTCAGCTGAAGAAAAGGTTGCTTGATAACTTATATTAATATTATTTTCCTGTTAGTTTTGGTCTTGGCCTTAAATAAACCATTAGTTTGGTGGGGTGGGGTGGGGTTTTTATTTCAGAAAATCAAAGTGGTGTTGAAGTACAATGCGCACTGTGAACACTGCAATTCGGAGTTGGAGAAGTGCATCAAGAAGTACTCAAAGGGTGAGCGTCTGCTGCGTTTTGAATCATCCATATCCATGCTTGCATTACTTTTTTTCTATTAATTCCATTAAAACTTTTTAATTTCTTAATTTTCGAGGTTGTTGGATGAAATTAATGAATGCTATGGCCTTGTGCAGGAATTTCAGGTGTAGTGTTAAATAAGAATCTGTCACTGGCGATTGTTGAGGGTGTGTTTGATGTGAGAAGGCTAGTGGAGCACATCTGGCAAGAAGTTTCAAAGCGTGTGCAGATTGTAAGTAAAGAAACTGCAGGTAAAACCAGAGCCAAGATTGTAAGTGAAGAAACTGCAGGTAAAACCAGAGCCAAGATTGTAAGTGAAGGAACTGCAGCTGAAACCAGACCCAAAGGTAGTGCAGTTGATCCTAGAGATGTATGGTCCTCCAGTGATGAAGAAGAGTCGCAGACTGTTAAAAAAGTTGACCGTCAAGTGAAGAAAAAGAGTGTTAGCCTGTTCGGGAGAGCTTGATTCTGAGAGATTGGTAAATTAAGGAAGTAGAAGTAGTATTAGATAAGTTACCCAATAATAATAAGATTAATGAGAGATTTAACATATTTTTTATTTTGTTAACAACAAATTATAAAAGGCTTCCTTATTACCTCAGTTCAGCTTATAAGTACTTTTCATTTTATATTCATTTTTTTATTGCATACTCCTAAGTCCTAATCCGAAGAATTGGATATTTATTTAGTGTATTTATGGAGGAAAAACCCACAAGCATTACATCCATGTATAGTTCCTATAACTTGGGTCAAAATTTATACAGAAATTAATCACATAACTCAATTATCTGGTAAGCCCGCCCACCCCACAGAACTTTGGAGTCCGAGGGTAAGGATTCTTCTCAAGGGAAATCAATCACCGTTTCTGAAATCCTCATCAAATTTTAACCAAATCCCATTTCATCAGAGTAATAATAATTAACATTACTGTTAACACCAGCGAAAGTGATTGTATTCAAATGCCGAGACCACATAATTTTGGTTCATGCATGGAAGTTGCAGCATTCACATCAAATTCAAACCTAAATCAACATAATAGAAAAAGATTTTCTTTTATTCTCACTAGACATTAGTCTGATGAACAGAAAAGGGTCTCTTAGTTCTCTTCCCCTCCCATGCCCCTTCCAGCATCCTATATTTATAGACAAAATTTTATAAAAGATAAAAGAAAAAAATAAATGGGTTCAATAAATTGTTATTAACAGCATCTCTACAAAACTCGCCAGCCAGTCCAATTTCCATCAATTTGGCTTGGGCACTCTCTATTTGAGGGAGAAGAGACTCTTATCAGCAACTAAGCTAATGCAGAAACCAGACAGTCTTCTCCCAATGCAGAGTACAACTATTTTATCATTTAGAGATTTTAATGCTCATCAAAGAGAAATATCATCAGCATTGCTGTCCACTTGAAAGTGCTGCAACTGCATTTGTTGCGCTGCGCTGTCTTGTCAAAACTGCGCCACTAAAACGTCGCGCAAGCCCAAGCACTCCATTACTTGAAGACCTATTGCTCAAGTCTTCTGAAGCTCGGTTTCCATTAGGAACCCTAAAACTTGATGACTCGCCCTCTTCTGAAACTTCACTAAAATCCTAAGAAAGAGTTGGCAGTTATTGACCCTCTGCAAATACTGAATAAAGGAAAAATAGAAAGTAAAATATTGGAGTTTCACCTTCAGGCCAGAGGCTGAGACAGAATTATGCGAAGGCCACTCCCCCTGCAAATGGTCAAGCCAATGAAAGGTGTAAAAAGACAAGTTTATTTAATACCAAAATGGAAAGATTAAAAAGAAACTACTTTTCCCCATGTCAGCCCTTCAATATTTTTATCCAACCATGTTCATGTCAGTTAAAAGTCTTCAAACCTTCTGAGATCCATTGGAATTGGATGGAGATGGCAGTTCAAGTGGTAGAGGTAAAGATCCAGTCTGCTAAAGCACAAACAGACACTAGTAAGAAAAAGTTAAAGCACAGAAAATACCAGTAAGAAAGATACTAGTAACAAATTAAACACATAAAGAACAAAAAAACAGTTTCACGGGGAATTTTTTGTTTATGGAGAGGCAATTGAACAATGCATTTAACCATTATTAACTATTCAATTTCATCAATATATCTTCTTTTTTGCAAAAGCACTGACTGCCTAAATGAGCAATCTCTCAAACACAGTTTGGAGAAAAAAAACAAAATTTAATAATAGACAATGAAAATCCTTTTTTCTGTTTCTTTTATATGTAACCTGTGTACTTATGTAACAAGAACATGTATTAAACTAGCATTCAAGCATTGTCCATCTTTCCCTCAAAAATCAGTGACAAAAATTACCCTTGATGATGGTGTAATTGTTGGTGATTCAAGAGCTTTCTTGGAGGAACTGTAATGCAAAGCCTGCAGGATTCAGAGAGCATAGTTAAATGAAAAATATATATATAAAATAAGCTGAAAAGTAATATGGAAACACAACAATCTAGAAACAAGCTTACGAAAATTATGATTAAAAATAAAATTAACAAAACTTAAGCTTGAAAATTTCAATTCATTGTGGAGTTAAAACTCCTTTGAAGTAATTATACAACACCACCACAATGAAAACTGATTCGACAAATACTATGGCTTAAACCATCCTGGATCTGACAAGCAATGTAATACAAATGAAGAGAAAGACCAGTTCGTGCCTGAATATGCTCTGTAATTCCACCACTTCCCTGTCTCTGGGCATAATCACACAACTTCAACACTCCTTGGGTTGTGTAATCCTAAGCAGATAATCAGAAGCCACAGCCATTAATATAAGCAGTGTAAATAAATTGTTAATCACTGCAGAGCAATTTAGATTGTAAACATAGAAGTTACCTGCTTGCCTTCTATTTCACTAAGTTTAATTTCCTGACACAACCAAAATGAAAGAGAGGCTTAAATTCACATCCAGGACCCACATCTTTAAAATAGTTAGGCAAAAGAACAAAGTTATAGTTCTACAGATTGCTCACCAGAGTTTGAACCACATCACGAACAGATTGAAATTCATCACCTATCAGCTTTGATCTTCCTCGAAGTATAGAAACCTAAAGGGCTTGATAAGTCCATAAATAAACTCAAAACATCTGAAATATTATTAAAGTACATGCTATAGCTAACATCCATTAACCACCCACCTCTTCCTGTGTAGCCTGAGATATTTCTGCTACTTTATTCACATCATGATCCACCCTGGTAACCTTTGAAGACAACTGCTTCTGGGCAGACTGGAAAGAAAGGAAAAGGAGAAACCCATCAATTGAGATTCCGTAACTTTCATGTTTTTTTCACATACTAGTACAAATATATGAAAAAAAATAATTAATTATTGCCAGCAGAAAAACTCAATACTTCTACTGTACCAATGTAGGTAACACTGTCAAGTTTTTTGATAAATAATTAACAAGTTATAATGAATTCCTACCATTACTATCATATTATAGCAACAACTGAAGCTTATAAAGATTAAATAATAAAGAGAAACAACATTTAAAAAAAAAAAAAAAAAAAACAAAACCACATTAATATCCAACTCATAAGAATTAACTTAAGTACCACCATATCTTTAGTTATGGGACAGTTCAATACACTATACCATCAATTATTAGAAAAATCACCAAACAAATATAAGCACACAACATTGCAGCAACAAAAATGAAATCAGTATATGAGAAACTTGCCGAGATTGAAGAGTAAACATCCTCAAGCTGTTTGGCTACAACACCGCAGGCATCAGATAAACTACGTTTAGAAGCAAACCTCAGATCAGGAAGCTTCCAACCCTGAGAATATTCACAGAATAAACGGATTAAGCTGATTGCAAAACCACCAAAGAAGTTGTGAAGCAGAAAACATATTAACAAGACATAGAATCATGTAATAGCATGAGATAGCAGACGTAGAAATATGCCATATAATACTGAGAAAACAAGAGGAAGAACTACAGTACTTAGAGAGATTAGGAAGCAGTGTCTCATGAATTGTATATATATGAGAACTGCATGGAACTAAGAATTGAAACCTTTTGAGACATGCTTGGAGTTAGTTTAAAAGGTTATAGGAAGAGGTGAAATAATTATATGAGAAGGTCAAGAAGTTTGAAGACAAAATTTAAATAAAATAAGTGATTCAGAATTCACACTATTAATTTCCTTGCAGCAGTATTTGGCAAGTAGGTTAACTTTTTTCTGGTTTAACAGCAGCTTTGTGAAAGATATCAGACCGAATTGTTACTAAAAGAAAGAAAATAATACAGAATTGGTGCTACACGCATGCATAAAAAGGGTGAAAAGGTGTCAGAAAATGAATCATTTGTTTCTTCATCATTCTGTTGCATGGAATTAGCAGTCATTTGTCTTCAATATTGGATTAAATAAGATGATTATGACAAGAACTAGAACAAATTTTTCTTGCAGAAAGGAAAAAATAAATAAATAGGAGGCACATTAATCAACTGTTTGGATAAAAAATTTCATCCAAGGAAGAGGATATGAGGCAAAGTGAAAAGATGTACTTCCGAGATAAATTTTAGAATCAATGAGCATAGTATGTTCCTCAATGACCAGAGGTCAATCATATTTCACTATGAAATATGTTTCTACAGGATCCAGACCCATGAAAAATAAATTAGACGTCAGGTTATATTTGATAAGACTAAAAAATCATAGGTCAAAGAGAAACCTAAACTGTAAATTCAGAGTACTATAACAGCATTCAACATAAAACAAAAAAAAAAGCGCCTAGAAACTCAGCCAAACCAAGCAAAAAACTCTAAAGCATACATGACAAATAAAGTGCCATAAAATGTACATAGTAACTCGTCATTGAGTATGCTAGACCAATATTGGCTATTTAACAAAGAAAAAATGACACAAATTTGGTGATTAGGATTGTAGTTCAACATTTCTATATGTTATGAGAGAATTATGTATAAATTTGAATCATCTCCTGAGCATACCTTCCACCAAATGTAGCCATATCCAACCGCTACAACAACTATAATTATGCCATATTTTCTACCACCTGCACATGGTAATACAAGTGAGAGAGGATACTCATGAGCTAATGAAATATAAGACTTTAAAAGATTGAAAGGGAGTACTGATTTCAAGAACGGGTGCCAATAAATGTTATAAGTAAAATAACAAAATGCAGTGATCCAAGATTTCTAAGGTTGTCAAATACTACCGACAGCAAGACAATGGCAACACATGAGCATCAAAGAATAATGAAAATTAACGGTTAAAGAAGAAATCAACATCTGTCACATGATGGACTGAGCAACCATCTGCAAACCATATTTTTGAATAATTCAAAGGCTAAGAGATCTTCAAGAACATGGAAACTCACAAGCACATCAGTGCATTTGGTCGGTAAAAGTGTTGCATATTTCCAGGAAGAATTTATATAAAAAATCATAATCGGCAAATATTCAATCAAAAAAATCTAATCAGTACATATGCAGTGTAAAAGTGGAAGGTAAACAATATATTCTCCTTTCAGATGTAAGAGTATAAAACAAGAACCTGTTCCACTTCCAGTTACAATTGTAATTGGAGAGTTAACATTCAAGCTCGCCAGCTCCTTTCGTAGATGATTAACCTGAAAAAGTGAAAAGTTCAACAACAACCTCGCTTTACAAACTCTAATCTGATCTCTCAGATGGCAAAGAAAAGTTACTCCAAAACAAATAATGAGCTCATTTTGACCCAAGGAACCACAAAAAAAAAAATGAGATTTTTAACCCTTGGATCAGAAAACAAATTCCAACCTGCCAACCCATCTATACCTGAAACGGATCCATGAACCAACTTACAACCCACATTAGGAAAAGTATTTACATACCCTATGCTCAATAAAATTGATAGAAAAAGTAATACTCATAAGCTAATGAATTACAAGATTTTAAAAGATTGGAAGGGAGTACTGCTTTTTAATCCTTGGATCAGCAAACAAGTCATAGAACAAACAAATTCCAATCTGCCATCCCATCCATACCCGAAACGGATCCATTGACCAAATTACAACCGACATTAGGACATCTAAAAGTAGTTACATACCCTATGCTCAATAAAATTGAAAGAAAAAAGTAATACCTGCCACAATAAACAAAATCCCACCCCCCCCCCCAAACAAAAAAAACCAAAAAAAAACAGAGGTAGCAAATTTATTTAACCAAGGGATACTCAACAATAAGGAAATAAAGAACACAAAGTTCCACTCCTTCTCCAACCTTTCCTGAAATGAACATATGAATATGAGAAACACAAAAAAGATGTCAAATGCAAACCTCAGCGATCAAAAAGTCATTGTGTGGCTGGCTAGCTGACGAATGAGATTCAACTTGCTTAAATGGATTGGAGAAAATCTGTGACAGACAAAATTTTTTTCAGAACAGAAGTAGTCTACTTGAGATACATTTATAGTAATAAAGAATTTCATACAACTTTTAAATCACACATAAATCTTTTCCAGATATGAAACAGAATTCCACATAATTACAAGATAAAAGAGGCAGTATATTACAAGGTATGAGTATTGACCACAGCTTTACATGCTCAGAAAATCTAAGGTTTTCATTCAATCAATGAAATTGAAACTACAGCCAGAAACAGAATATTAGGCTCTAACGCAACACATCACAACCATGACTCTTATCTCAAAAATGAGTTTTCAATTTATTTCAAGTATTGTCTAGTCCTCCTGCCCAAGGAAAAACAGAGATTATGGGAAAGAAATTATTAACAAACAAATGAGCATTGCAAACAAAATATAATGAAATCTACAAGTGAACATACAAATCAATGCACCCACTAAATTCAAACTGAATATAATTTTTAGGAACCCAGAAAGAACAAAGCTTGTTTTAATGACAAAAATACCTTTAGAGCACCTGAAACCAAATTAGAAACATTCGACAGGTGCCCTTCTTTTGCAAGAACCGATCCAACAATACCTGAAAGACATAATAACAACTAACTTAGTAAAAATGTTCTTCCGACTCGGACATAAGTAATCAAAAAAAGTAAACTAAATTTTACAGAAACAATGGGAATTAAAATATCACTTGATATGATTATAGCCTAACTGCAAATACCAAGTGCATAAAGCACAAGACTTGCTGATTTGCCATACATATTCTGATAGGACTCAGGACATATCAACCTGACATAATAAGCCTTTGGATGAAAGTGAGAACCCAGGACGAGAACACGAATGGACAAAGAGAATGATGCCATGAAAATGCCATATTATTCTCTGCTCACACAAGACAACCTATTTACTAGCCAAACATTCGCAAGAAAGAATAACTCAAACTTCCTAAACATAGCCTTTAAATGACCATTGTCGTGCTTACAAATCAATTTTTAAAAGAACTCTAAAGTCACAAGTTCCTTTAAGAATTTTAGGAAAAAATCATACCAACAAAATCAGAAAACAGTAGTAAACTACACAACATCACTCCCTTTTCATCCGAAAACTTCTAGAATCAGCTTATCTAAACCAACAAAAAAATCTTAATTCTAGTCCCACCACACTAAAAACACAATCACTCTCTCAAACCCTACTCTAAAGTCCACTGCTATCTCCAATAACTATAGTGCGAATATAATCACAAATACCCTAAACATAGCTCCACTTAACCATAATTTATCCCAATCCCATCACTCAACAGAATAACTTATTCAACTAACGATCTAGGGTTTATCCAAGAAAAAAACCCTAAATTTTGATTCCACACTAGTACCATGACTAATTGACAAGATGAAAAGGAACGATTACATCGAAAAAAGTAGACAATTAACTAAAATCGAGGAAAATAAAAAGAAAAGAAGATGAATTGTACGGACCTGCGCCGAGGAGGATGGTTAACTTGCCGAGAGGAAGAGACATGACCGGGAGATTATTATTTTGTTTAATAATTTAATTATAATTTTATAGGTATGTGAAGGCTGTGCTATGAGCCACGATACGACATGACAAATTTTAAATTGAATCGGAGAGTTGAAAAGAAATTTGCTGAACAAGAAACTGGAACTCGGGTTTGGCTCGCTGAAGTGAGGACTGTGGGCAGGTGAGTGGGCTACCGGGCTTCTTCCAACCCTATTTCAGCTCGTTGCGTAAAGCACCTTCGCTTTTGTAGTTATTTACAACAAGAAGACTTTCATCCCGATGAAACGAATATTCTTTTTCTCTTTTTTTTTACCTTCTCTTTTATTAAAATTACACAAATATAAATTTTTAAGAGTAAATATTACGGACTCTTATTTTCAAAGATTTTAAATATTTTTCTAAAATACTGGTTATTTTAGTTTTTTTTATACTGCAGAAATTTCATTAGGCATGTTAATGAGGCGGGTTAGGTTGGAATCTAAGAAATTCATGCACGTGCTCATGACCTTTTTTTTTTTGTAATTGGAGTGTTTGAGTCAGTTTGTACGTACTTCAATTAATCTTTAAGGTCTATTGAATACCTTACAAGTCCAAAAAATTAGGTAAGTCACAATATTATTATAGTAAGTAATCTCAATGTTTGAACTCAATAATTCAAGGAAAAAGGCAAACTACCTTTATCTCTAAGCTAATCGAGAGATGACAAGCAAGTCGAGCAGTTCGTGAGCTACTGAAGCTCGGCTCGTGAAAAGCTCAAACTCGTCTCGAAGTCAATTGAGTCGAGCTCAAGCTCGAATGGCTCGTTTAAGGGGTCGAGCCAAAATTTGATCCATTTTATATATAAAAAAATTAAATCTAACACATATATACAAACTATTTTTTAGAGTAAATTAATTACATTGATAAATAATAATTTTAACTATTTGATATAAAATATTTATTCAAATTCTAATAATTCTACTACAAAAATTATCCAAACAAGTCATATATATATTACTAAATCTTATTCCAAATAATGTAAAATCATGATTCATGAAATAACTCATTCGAAACTACTTAATTTGACAACGTAAAAGGAAATAATTAATATAAAATTAATGTTCATACAATTATTAATGTTAAATAAAATATATGATGTTAGTAATTATAGATTAAAAAATTTAATATAACATTTTATAAATAATACATATAATTTGAATGTTAAATACTATATACAATTATTTATTCATAGTTATATAATTTTGGGCCGAACGGAACAAGTCAAGGTCAAAATTAGCATTTTCATTCCCGCCTCAAAATAATTTAGATCAAGATATTCAAACCGAAATCCGACCCACCCCAAAATTTTTTACTATCCAAATTCAACCCGTTAGGGTTAGCATCCCCAAACCCATGGGTCATTTTGACATCCCTATGCTTCTTACGAAAATTTAAAATTTTTAACAAATTATTTGATAATTAATAGACTATGATGTACAAATTGATATGTTATATTTCTTTTATGAGTAATAATATATGTACAAATCACTTTCTATATAAACTATTAAATACAAATTATTCGTAACACAAAATGAGTAGAGAAATATATATATATATAAAGATAAAAAAAAAAAAATCAATAAATAATGATAAATTAAAGAGTTATGTCACAATAATTAATTTGTATATTAATTAGATGTGATATAAAATGAATTGATAAATTAATATAAAACGTTAGCTTAATTAATATGTCGAACGATAATGTTACTTTGTACATTACTTTTAACTTCGGTACCCAATTTTATTATCATGTTATTTATCCATATTTATCAAGTCTTTGTACACATATTTTAAATAATTGATATTATTATTTTTTTTTATAATATATTTATTAATGGAGAATAAAGTTAAAAAGAATCGAATATGTCTCAAGTATCTCATGTTTCCATCACTCCTTAGACTCCTCGCTTGTGTGAGGACAAAATAGTGACAAAGAATCAGTGTGAAACATACGGCAGTACATAGCACGCCGTAATAAGATAACATGTTACACATCATAAATGAGTTTAAAAATATTTCTATTTAAAAGAATATACTAAATATAAAAATTATATTTGTTGACCGAAATTAGTATTAAGATGGGAAAAAATCCAGTGGATGAGTGGTGATTGGCTCCGCCTTGTGGGAGCAAATGCGCCACGTTCTGCCGCCAATAAGAGCTTTCATCACAACACTAATGGCCACAAAAAAAGTGGTCCTTCTCTTTAATACAATTCATAAATAGAGAAAATTACGAGCATTAAGTTAGAAAGGATACTCCTGAGCTCATGAATTACAACTTTTTTGAAAGATTGGAAGGGAGTTCTGCTTTCAAGAAAGGGTAGCAATAGATGTTTGAAGTAAAATAAGAAATGCAGTGATCAATATTTCTGGGGTTGTCAAATACTACTGACAGCAAAACCATGGCAATACATGAGCATCAAAGAAGAATGGAAATTAATGGTGTTGGAGTCTCACATCGACTAGACACGCTCAAGCCTATTAGTTTATAAGAGAGGGTAATTCTCTCATTCAATAAGGCCTTATTGGGTGAGGAGTCAGACCCACCTCAAATTCTATCATGGTATCAGAGTCCAAGTTCAGTTGAACTGTGTGTTTGACCAGTGGATGAGGAGTTAGAGCTAACAACTACCTCTGTCAACAGGCATGACCCAACATATGGGCTTGACCGTGAGGGGGAGTGTTGGAGTCCTACATCGACTAAGTACGCTCAAGCCTACTAGTTTATAAGAGAGGGTAATCATCCCATTCAATAAGACCTTATGAGTGAGGAGTCAGGTCCACCTCAAATTCTATCAAATGGTTAAACGAAGAAATCAACATCTATCACATGATCGACAGAACTTGTTCCAATTCCAGTGACAGTTGTAATTGGACGGTTAATTGCCAAGCCCTCGAGCTCCTTCCATCGATGAATAACCAGAAAAAGTGAGAAGTTCAACAACAACCTCCATTCTCTAACTCTAATATGATCTCTAGGATGACGAAGAAATGTTACTCCAAAACAAATAATAAAAGCTCATTTTGACCCAGGGAACTACCAACAAAAAAGAGCCCTTTAACCCTTGGATCAGCAAACAAGTCATAGAACAAACAAATACCAATCTGCCAACCCACCTATACCCGAAACGGATCCATGAACCAAATCACAACCCACATTAGGAACATCTAAAAGTATTCACATACCCTAACTCAATAAAAATTGAAAGAAAAAGTAAATACTCAACAGAAACTAACAAAACCCTTTTTAGCAGTTCATGGGTGGTGTAGTTCCCTGACTCAATAAACTGTCAATGTGTGGCTTGCTAGCTGACGAACGAGATTCATATTGTTTAATAGCATTGGAGAAAAGCTGTGACAGACGAAATTTTTTTCAGAACTTAAGTAGTCTGCTTTAGATACGTTTATTCAAGAATTTCATACAACTTTAGAATCACACATAAATCTTTTTCCAGACAGAAAACAGAATCCCCCATACCATAATTAATTGATAAAAGGAATTTTAACCGCAGATTTACATGCTGAGAAAATCTGAGGTTTTCATTCAATCAACGAAATTGAAACTATAGCCAGAAACAGAATATTAGGCTCTAAACGCCACACATCACAACCATGACTCTTACCCTAAAAATTGAGTTTTTCAAAGTCATTTATTTCAAGCAATGTCTAGTCCTCCTGCCCAAAGCAAAACTAAGATAACGGGAAAGAAGTTAATAAAAAACAAATGAGCATTGCAAACAAAACATGATGAAATCTACAAGTAAACATACAAATCAATGCACAAGTAAATTCAGACTTAATATAATTTTTAGGTACCCAGAACAACAATAAAAGTACCTTTAAAGCACCTGAAACCAAATCAGAAACATTTAGACAGTCGCCCTTCTTTTGCAAAAACCGATCCAACAATACCTGAAAGACACAATAACAACTAATTTAGTTAAAAACATAACTAATAAAAAATGTTAATGGAATTTTACGTAACTAACTGGAACCAGCCATCATTGGGTGGCCTGGGTGGCCTAATAGTTAAAGAGTAAAAAGAGATTCTATAAACTCATAAGTTCAAGTCCCTTAGACACTAATAGAGGTGGTCATTGAGACTCTTACTCAGCTGGTAGTTACAGGCCCCGAGGGATTAGTTAAGGTGGCTCTTACCTGACTGGCAGTTCTAGAATCCCAGTGATTGGTTGAGGTGCATGTAACTTGGCCCGGACACCCATGGTGATCACAAAAAAAAGTCGATAGTTCCAAGCCCCGAGAGATTAGTTGAGGTGACTCTTACCCAACGACGGTTTTAGGATCCCAAAAGATTAGTTGAAATGCGCGTAACCTGACCCGGACACCTCTAGTAATCACTAAAAAAAAAATTGGATCCAAAACAGTGTGACAGTAACATTAAGTCTTTGTTAGGTATAATCTTTTAGAATTTTTTTTAAAATGTCTAAAATACCTTAATTTGTTAATTTTTATTTTCTTATGGTTAATTGAATTTTTCTAAATTTTTACGAGCATTCTCAGGTAGCAGCCGTTTATTTATTTTTAATAATTCTATTAATTTTTTATTTTATTTACATAAGAAAAAATTACGGGTACCAAAATGTATTTAACTCGGCTGTCGTAAGCGAGGACGGTGGGCGGGTGAGTGGGCTGGGCTTCTTCAAACAACCCTACTTCAGCTCGTTGCCTAAAGCACCTTTGTCTTTGCGGTTATTTACAATGATTGAACAAATTTTCCTTATATATATATTAATTACACAAGTGTCAATAAATATGTATTGTAAAGGTGTATTACGGACTCTTAAATATATATTTTTTTTAAGTAAACGACATATTTTTACTCGAGGTTTAGCGAAATCTCAAGTTGATACTCTTGATTGTATTTATTCCAAATTATCATCCTTAAACTAGTATTATTAGTGACTATTGGAGGTGGTAGGAAACAGTAAGTGAGGTTAACAAGTGAAGGTATGAGTTTTGTAGAGAAGATTGTTGAGAGTCTAACGGTGGTCTCGGAAGTGACTTTGGACTTCATAATGGTTAGAAAAAGCCAAAAACTGCCAGCTTAGACATTGTTGACGTGAACCATTTTTGCTAAAATGAGTATGTCTTCTACCAAAGCAAGCGTCAACTATGCACTTGCACTAAACTGTGCTGCGCTATAGTAAAAAGTTGAGAATATGTTAAAATAAAAGAAACGGCGTTACTTTAATGATGAAAATCTAAAATAAACACAAGTAGGGGTATCAATTTGACATTTGACTAAACCTTGGATGGGAATATGTTCGTTTGCTCCTTATTAAAATATATTTATTGACTTGACTTTTCGTAGTGTTCACTCTGTACAATATTAAATTAGTGATAAAATATTATACACCTAATTTATGTAATTGGTATTACCTTTTTTATAATATATGAAAGAAATGACTGAGATGGAGAAAACAATTTTCGTTTTATGATGGACCTCGGGAATTAATTTGCAATCTTAAATAATTCCTTTCATTTAATAAAACCACAGTCATTTGAGGTAAAATAAATATGTTGTGTGTAACTTTTCCGCTAAGCTCGGACTAACGCAAGGATATAACTTGACCCAGAATGAGATCTGCAACAATGATTGATCGATCCAGCATAAGCTCGTTGAGCCGTAGCTCGACCCAACATAAGTTAGTAATGGACAGTTTAAGGAATCATTCAATCAATCTCCAGATTATTTCAGATCCCATATATTATAGGAATGACTCAATCAACAGTGATCATTGCGCAATCACAACACCAAATCGCGAGGGTATCGAAATTATGATTTAGATCGATTGTAATCCCCTAAATTTCTCTTTTTTCTTTGTACAAATCTTGTATAAAAACCCCCTCGAACGATGAGGAAGGGGACTTTTTTTCAGATAAGAGTTGCATTGTAAGCTCTCACCAAAAATATAAAAAACTCAATGGACGTAGGCTGTTAACCTCGCCGATTCACTTTAAAAATCTCTTTGTTTTTAATTCATTTTGTTCATATTCATTGCTAATTTTCACTAATCACGCATACATAAGTTCTAATCCCGATAAGGTCGATTGGATCACGCTGATTGGTGCAGAATTCTGTATCAACAAAATATTTTTTAGAAACTAATGTATTATTCAAGAAGAAAAAAAAAATCAAATATTTCCATAGTACAATGTCTCTCAAAATGTCCCATGCTTCCATCACTCTGTGTCTTTGTGAGTAGTTATAAGTTATTTCATTAACAATAATGCTATACTTACTCATGAACTTACTAACGGTCTTACTCATCTTTGTTAAAATTACATATGGTATCCGTACTATGCTTATAATACCTATACTATACTTTATATTTACAAAAGTGAGTAAGACGGTTAGTTTATATAAATTATAATTTATTGATTTTTCCTCTGTAAAAATCGCATTATAAAAAGGATACTAATTTTAAATTAAAATTTGATGACGGAAATTAAGATACCAGTAATTGACATAGAAAAATTCCAGTTGATGAGTCGAGTCGTGGTTGGCTGGCTCTGCCTAGTGGCAGCAAATGCGCCACGTTCTGCCGCCAGGAAGACCTTTCATCTCGCCACGGCGGCCACAAAAAAGATGGCCCTTTTCATTCCGTCTTCATCAATGTAATATTAATCCGATTCATTAATAGAGAAAGACGATCAATAGTGTTCGTTTCTCTTCAATTATTTCAGATGCGAAGTGAATACAAACTCGGTAGATATTGAAAATGAAAACAGAGGCAATCTGAAATAATTAATTAAAGGTATATAATCACTTCATTCCTACAACACATTTTTATTTTGAGAGTTGAATTCAATAGTAGATCATTTACAAAAAAAAAAAAAAAAGGTGTATTTGATATTGATGAGTATAATTCTAGCTTTCAGCTAATTTGATTTTGAGGACTTGAGACTTAATAAGAAGTGTAAATTTGCATCTGGCTCAAGATATGCTCGAAGTTATCAGTAGACTTTTCTATTGGGTGTGAATGCATTCCTTCATAGGTTGTCACCACCACTCCTTCGTCTTTTGTTAATCGTTGAACCTGCTTCTTCACATTGCACCCTTGATGTGTACATCGATAGTAACTTCTGCAGATTATGAATAAACAAAGACAAATCAGGTCAAAACCAAAGATTAATTATATAAACTCAACCTAATCTAGAATATATACGTTATGTGAACTGGGGTCCTTGTTCTTTGATCTTAAGTAATCACTGTGATGTCAGGATAACATGTAACTTTAATCCCTTTTTTAATTTAAAGAAGGAAGAAGAACTTCAATTCTACACGTTGACCTCATCAAGAATAAAAAAATGTCTTACGTCTCTCTTCCAATTAGATGTTGTTCCCAGTATATTAATGTATTCATATTAATACTCTTTCCACGAGTCGGCTACTTCAACTTTAATTAAGTAGAGACTGAAGGATCATGATTTCATCATCCTTCCAGACAACATAATGAACAGTTGATAAATCACAAGTTTCTTCTTCATGACACAGATAAATTTTACAGATGGATGAGCTATGACAAGATTTAAACAGATATATTTTATAAAGAAGAGACCGATTCCTTCTTCTATATTCTTTTTAATCTGTTTTAGTATTTAATGTATTTTGAGTATAACGATGGCAACGTAGTCTTTAAAAGGCTGAAGGACTAAATATCTACAGTCTAGACTTAATTGGCAAGCTCCATTCAATTCCCAGTAGTAGTTAACAGTTGAAATTTAGCTTAAGAAGTTGGCAAACAAAAAGGAGGAATTTAAATCGGGATTAAGACAAATTAATGGCAACCAGTATCTATACGGGGGCTTTTGGAAATTTGATTTATTAAATAGCTGCAACATTCAAGACATGGGCTGCAGTTGGTCTGGGTTTAATGTTGAACTCCAAATGCACACTCTCAGAACAGAAGAAGTTAAGCATGCAGCATTTGGTCACCATTATTTGCAGGAAGGCAAATGCTAATTAAGTAATGTTGCAAAGAGGACAAATTTTTATGCCTGCATCGACATATCTCCTATTTACTTCTCCAAATACAGAGAATCAATTCGAGGTATTTTCATCTCCTCTAAGAGGGATTAACCTATAGCTTGGGCAATAAAAAATATACTTTTGTATCTTACTGATAATTGTCTTTGAAACTCTAGAAGACAAAGCTCTATGTTATTAGGATGGGACATTAATTAATTTCCATAACAAAAATGAGGAGCACTAGCAAGGACACTGTTGGAAAAGAGGGTAGGCGTACTCTCTGATCAAGGGAAGAATCTGCTGCCACAACTATACATAGAAACGGACAGATCACCTAATCTTAAACCGATAGTTTTCAGATATTTATATACACAGGCTACGTTTGACACAGTTTTTCTATACTTACGATCATCGACATGAAATTCAACAAATCACAGGCTTATGTATTTTTATATTTTATGTCAGAGTTCAGTGGATTCTATTTTTAACATATACAGATTACAGACTGAAATTAATTTCAAAGTTAAACTAACTGAAACTATTAACTTTTGTTTACCGCAAAAATTTCTTATATTTTCTGTAAGATACTGGAAAAAAAAAAATACTAGATTTTGAAACAGAAGTTACTGTGGAAACTTTCTTAATTTCCGTTTGTATCTTATTAGCCTACGGCTACCCAGTAAACAGGGTATATGTTTCGTAACAAAATAAACACATAAATATATATAGAAGTAGGAGATATCGGTGTCCTATTTTATTAGATATGTCATAAAAAAAAAGTGCATTAACAATAAATGAATAAAAAGATGAAGACAAGAGAAAGAAGGTAAATACCTTGGAAATTTGTTGTTCTTCACAGCCTTTTGGCCATATTTTCTCCATCTATACCCGTCATCGAGTATATCAACTTGGCTTCTGGTTTGAAAAGCGTATCTTGGTTTCCTTATCTTCTTCTCCGAACCCTTTTTCTTTCCTATTTTCTCTTCATTTTCAGACCCTACAAAACTTTTGGTCTGACTCATGATGTTGTTGTTGTTGTTGCTGTTGTTAAGATTTAGACTAGCTGCAGGAACTTCCATCTCTGACAGTAATCCCAAGAACCCATTTGACTTGTTACCTTGAAAATCATTATGATTAGACTGAGAAGTCACCATACTTAATGAACCCGATGATGCTGAAGATGAAAAAGGAAAAAATGGTGGATAGTTCTCCATGTCAAACAGAGAGAAAAGAGAGAGAGAGAGAGAGAGAGAGACTGGAACCAAAGTATAAAGAAGGAGAGACTGTAAATGTGTTGAATGTGACTCTTATAAATAAAGCTGTAGGATTAGAGGATTTAATAAAATAATAAATTAAAAGTTCAAAACAGTAAGGCGGCCTGATGGCTAAATAGTTAGGACCGGGGGCTAGCAACTTCGATCTTTATCCTGCGGTTGGTGTCGTAAACGGCACGTAAAATATTACAATAAACTAATAATATTGTTTCAATAAGATTAGAAAAGTAATCCTCCATTAACAATGTTTAAAATATAATTTATCGGTTGGTATTGACCAAACTTGTATTTCGTACGAGAGTACTTCAACCTGGAAAATGGATTATATTCTATTAAGTATTTTGTAAATACTGACCCACACTTAATAAGATATCTTGCTAATTTATTATTATTATCATTTTTTTTTTTTATGAACAACTCAACTCATTTTTTAAGATTTTAAAACTATCGATCAAATAAAAATTTAAATGACTATCCCGATTAACAATTAAGGAGAGACTCAAACTCACGAGCTTTTAAGTAATATATTGAAGAGATACAAATCGAATCAATCGACCACTCAAAGATAGTTAATAATGTTATTTTTTTTACTAGAGGTGTGTCTTTTGGTCAAAAAATGTGTTCTAAAAGTAATTGTTGTAATTATCGTAATTAAACACGTTACAAAATAAGAAAAAAAGGAATATTTTTAGAGATCAATTGAAAAAAAAAAGCTCATGCATCATTAAGATACCTAAAGATGAGCACTTGCTATTAAAAAAAAAAAAAAAATGATATTAATTAATTGTTAAAATAAATATTGATTCAAAGTGCGACGGCTCTTACCTTTCCTATTGCTTTTGGAACCTTCATGGAACGTTTGCATTGTTTGTAGTTTTATGAATGTGAATGCTCGTAAAATATGTTCAATTAAAGTGTCCATTTCACATAATTGTTTTCTTAGTCCTAATAAAAAAACATCAGCAGAGAAGACAATTCAAACTTCTTAATCATGATTATATCATCTTAATTTGAAATTATAACAAGATCTGCGGACATATATATAAACAAAATTACTTGTAAATGTGACGGATTACCGATAAATAGAAGAACTAAATTCCACGTATTATATATAACAAAGTATGCAAGAAGATTTTGTGGAATTCAAAGGATGCGGAAATTAAACCTTAAAACTAATTAATTAATTAATAGTCCATGGTGTTTGAGAGAGAGAGAGGGAGAGAGAGAGGGAGGAGGGAGGTGTCGTGACGAGCACCTGGGTTTGAATAAAATTTAAGTAAAAGAAGTCGTAAAACTAATGATAGTTTTATGCCGTTTGAAACTGAGTAAAGGACTTTCCCATCCAAAGTTAATAATTTAATTACCACCTGTTGATGGACGATTTTGAAACCAACTAAAAACATGAAATGTTGAGTTATCCCCAAAAGACATACGTGAAAGGTTTTAAGAAAAATAAAAATAAATGCAGTGAGAAAAGAGTTTTAAAGTGGTTCGGATGCTAAGGAAGCAAATCATACGTCCACTGATGTTTTTATTTATGATGATAGTCAAGTTGCTTTAGACGACTGACTTTACACTGATGATACAAGGTATCAAAGACTGTCTTTTCTAGAGAGTGAGTTCTTATCAAGAGTAAAATGTGCGAATCCCTTTAATGAGAGAGGAACTCCCATTTTATAGTGGGATGCCTTAAGACAATCATCACTGAATCTGCAAGTTGGTGGGATGATCTGTGCAAATCCTTTGTTTAGAGTAATTCACGTGATTTGCTGCAGGGGTTGGACACGCGGGATCGTCACAACTCCTTGCTGGCCTGACGTGCACCCATTACTCTGACGGAAGTAAGTTGTGGGTGCCACCGTGATCACACGAAACAACTGAGTTAGGATGGCAGTAGGCTCTTCCCGAGGTCTGACCTTGAGCATTTAACAAGACGCCACGTCAGCCCTAAGTTCCCAGACATAACACTACCCAAAGCCGATTCCAATGGTAAAAATTCTTCTCGTCACTACCATTTAAACCTTTGGTTTCCTCTCTATAAAACCTCCTCAATCTGGCACTTGATTTTTCTCCGATTGTCGACCATCGTAAAGCTAGATTTTCATCTTCTTAGTTGATTTCCAACTGATTTAGGTGACGAATATTCAATCGATCACTACCATTTAATCCACCGATCTCAACTTTACAAAACCCCTCTTACCCTGGCTCCTGGTAACTCACCGAACATCGACTGAGAAAGTGAAATGTATTTTGTGTATTAATGGAATATAAACTTTGGGTGGGAAAATAGTATTTTGAAGCTTTTGTGGTGGAAAAAATTATTAAGGCAAACCTTGGGTGGGAAAAAAAATTTTACTCTGTGAAATTTGGTTGGTTGGTGCAGGGCGCGCGAGCAGCCTTTAATTTTGCTACAGAAGAAACTCTGTAGCAAAATAATTGATGATTTAGACTTTAGAGGATTAAAACATGCATTTTATAAACTAAATTAATAACGTGTAACTTTATTCTATCCTAAAACTATCATTGCAGCAGTGACACTTCCATGAAATTCAGTATTAAAACGACTAAATTTTTTTTTTCCATGAATCCTTTCCACGCCAAGCTTAGTTCCAGAATCAGCGTTCAACATAAAATAAATAGAAAACATGTTTCACATTATAGTTTAAAAACATGTAAAACTTTCAAAGCACAACAGCTGATATGTGATCCCGATATATATAGATCTGGAATATTTACACCTTATTAATCATGAAATAAGGGACAAATTAGAGGCCAACCCGTATGGAAAATTTTATTGATTGATGTATTGTTCATTGATTGACGTATTGTGGGGTTCTCACAGGTTGGCCTCCACAACATATAAGAGGACAATACTATATAGTACTGTGCCAAATTAAACCTATATTAGAATTTAGACGTAACACGATTGGTAGCAAGAGTGACGACTCCATAAATAATGTGAAATGGTACTGATCCCAAATATTGATAGATATAACCTAGATGAAGATATATAATCTATATACATAAATATATACGAATTAATGGCATTATGGCCCAATGTTACACTTCAATTGATTTAATTAGATCCCTACCCTACCTCATGCTAACCCTCTTGTGATAAGAATAGGAGATTTATGGCTTGAAGAGGACTGGTTACCAAAAAATTGGGACCATTTTCAGCTTTAAAATTTTCAAATTAAATTAGGTCTGTATTTCAAGAAATTACAGATATACGTGCGAATAAGACAATGGGTTTTGTAATATGTAGGAGTGTTTTTTAAATCTTTACAAGTACCTTTAATTGGGCTTCTTCAAACAACCCTATTTCAGCTCGTTGCCTAAAGCACCTTTGTCTTTGCGGTTATTTACAAGGATTAAACGAATTTTCCTTTTTTTTTTTAAATCATTTTTACTTTTTTTTTTTTATATTACAAAGTGTCAATAAATATATATTGTAGAGGAACTATACGGACTCTGATTTTCAAAGATTTGCCATTCTTAAATATATACTGTAATTTTTAATACAAGTTATTTTAGCAGTTCTATACAAAATAATAATTATATAAACCGAGATACTATAAAATTTACTAAATACTGATAAATTAAAAGTTATGTCACCTTAGTTTATATATTAATGTTTGGATAATATTATACGCAAAACCTTACATACAAGACAATGTGCATAAAATGAATTGACAAATTAATATTAAAATTAACTTAATAAAATACATTTTACGATATGACAATATAAAAGTAATGTAAATTACTTGTATACTACATTTAATTCGTATGTATAACACTAATCCACTTTAATATATTATTAAGAGGTAAACGACATATTTTCACCCGAAGTTTAGCGAAATCTCAAATTGATACCTCTAATCATTTATTACAGATTATCATCCTTAAACTAATACCATTAGTGACTATTGGAGGTGGTAGGAAACAATGAGTGGGGTTGACAAGTGAAGGTATGACTTTTGTAGAGAAGGTTATTGGGAGTCTAACGGTGGGTGGAAGTGATTTTGGACCTCAAAATGGTTGGAAAAAAGCCAAAAACTACCAGCTTGGATGCTGTTGACGTAAGCCCTTTTTTGTAAATGAGTCTGTCTTCTATCAAAGAAGCACCAACAAACTTGCGCTAAATTGCGCCGCGTTAGTGAAAAGTTGGAAATATGTTAAAATAAAAGAAACGGGTGTACTTTAAGGGTAAAAATCTAGAATAATACAACTAAGGTATCAATTTGAATTTACTAGACCTCGAATGGGATTATGTCGTTTGTCTTTATTAAAATATATTTATTGACTTAACTTTTCCTAGTGTTCATCTGTACCATATTAAATTAGTGATAAAATTTATACACCTAATTATGTAATGGTATTACTTTTTTAATAGTGAAAGAAATGACTTGAGAGGGAGAAAACAATTTTCGTTTTATGATGGACCTCGGGAATTAATTTGCAATCTTAAATAATTCATCTCATTTAAAAAACCATAGTAATATGAGGTAAAATAAATATGTTGTGTGTGACTTTTCTGCCAAACTCGGGCCAACGCGAGGATATAGCTTGACCCAGAATGAGCTCGACAACAATAATTGATCGACTCAGCATAAGCTCATCAAGTCGTAGTTCGACCCAACAAAGCTAGTCACAGCCAGTTCAAGGAATCATTCAATCAACATCCAGATTATTGCAGATCCTAGATATTACGAGAATGACTCAATCAATAGCGTCATTGCGAAATCAACACCAAACGCGAGGGTATCGAAATTATGATTTAGATCGATTGTAATCCCCTAAATTCGTTTTTCCTCTGTACAAATTGTATAAAACCCCCTCGAACGATGAGGAAGTGGGATTTTTTTTCAAATAAGAGGTACATTGTAAGCTCTCACCGAAAATAAAAAAACTCAGTGGACGTAGGTGTTAACCTTGCTGAACCACTTTAAAAATCTCTTGTTTTTAATTCATTTTGTTATATTATGCTGATTTTCACTAATCACACACATACAGTTCTAATCTCCGGTAGGT